ATCCACAAAAAATAATTCATAAAAAGAAAACACGATATGACAATAAATACATTGCTTATACATCAAATTATTTGCTTACCTGAGTCATCAATTGCTCCTGTATTGAGAAACACTCCTCGAAAATACCACAACTCTGCGATAAACTGCACGTGCACGATTTCTCGATCATTCCCCAGATGGAAGGTAAACATCAAAAACAAAGTCTTTCGGCGTATCCTCGTAACTTGAACGACTCTCAGCTAAGAGATAATGTTCTTTTTCTGAAGCTACTTAAAGCAAAATTATTATTTCTTAACCATGAAATAAATAAAAACGCCGCAAACAACCACTTTCTTTCATAAGTAACGATCCTTCTCGGCGCCATTTTAAAAGCCTCGTTACGGTGCAGCTGACCGCGTAATTTCGGTCAATCGTGCTCCTGGAACCTAATGTCGCTTTTTATTTGAATTGAAACAGCCGTGAGCCACACCCTTGGCGGCACGCGTTATTTTTTTACTTTGAACTGAGAAAGTAAATGAATTGACGCATTTGTGGTTCAAAACAAATGTAATTCTTAATTAAGAAAAATTGTAACGGAACAACAATGGTCACCAGTTGATCTGAGAAAATCAGTTTTAGCCAATCACAAGCGAGAAAAATCGCAAAATCATGAGGTGTCACTTTTCCCTTAATTGAAATCATGGATTTCCAAGTTACCAAATGGAAGAAAGAAGACGTCGCTTTTAAACTGCTATCACGATAATTAATAAGATTTAATATTTTTCACGTTTTTATTTGTTTATCAATAACGTTTTCATTTTTCATGGGTCAATTTTTCTCAGGCTTTATAACGAGCCGAAAGATATTATTACTTTGTGAGGAAACTTCAGTTTGCAGTAACGTCATTTGTAAGTCACTATCTCAGATCATCTGCAACGAAACTAATTAACTTGATTGAGGAGTCATCAGTTTCATCCCTAGCAACCAGTTAATTTAGCACCTAGCAACCAGAGACGTCACTAGTCGAAGGTGTGTCTACTCTGTGATTGGTGGGATTTTATTTCGAGCATTTTGATTGGTTCAGCAAAAGCCTTTCTTGCGATAGAGGGCGTATGTAACATCTCTGTTACATAATCATGGAATTAAACTAAAGGAATAGCGTACTGACAATCACAGCGAGTTTCTTTTCGGCTACAGTCCATACCTCTCTTTCATTTCAGATCCATTGCCAAAGATATCTAATTTGCTATAAAATATAGTTTTGTGCCACTAGAAAAAAATTAAGAGGTAGCCCTTTGTGTTAAAGTCACTACACAACAACAGAACCAACAAACGTGGTTTTAATTTAACAATCTACTCAAAAGTATTCCTGTCAACTGAAGAAGACAAGCTCTCTCTTACCAGTTATAGTTCAACTTTGGAGTTAAGCTCAATGGCTTTTTGGACTGAGAATGACACTTTTGTTGTTGGTAATGGTAGGGAGCGTTTGTGCGTTACTAAGCGGAAAAGTTGGAGTCGTTCATTGGCGTTCAAGCGAGGAACTTTTTCTGGTTTCAGGAACAAAAATGGTACCAGAACAAGGCAGTGGAGAGGAAAAAGCTGGAGCCGCGAATTTGCGCATCTTGGATTACGAAACGAGAAAGGCAGTGATAGAAATCATGTCGGGTTAAAGCCAACAGACATGGTAACAGATAAACCATACAATGAATGTTGTTACATACAGGCACTGAGTACCCCTGTAGCGGAAAATGAGATGGAAAAAGCCCCAAACGATTTAGTCAAAGAAGAAGAAGTTGACAGTAAAAGAGAGCTGGAAAAGACTGAACATCCACGTCGTGTTAGTTGTGTTTCTGTTTTTCACCTTCCCAATTTTTCTTCGTCTCAAAGAGTAAGGCGTATCGTTGTACAAGGAACTGACAACGACTCTCTTGGGTTCGTCGATGGAATAGCCAGGTATCCAAGGGAGGGCAAAGCTGCTGCTAAAGATAGTACGCATGATGATTTGGCAGGTTTTCCCGCGCAAGAGATGGAGGCGAAAGTAAAGCATATCATTGTGCAAGGAACTGACAATGACTCGCTTGGATTTGAAGATGGAATAGCCAGGTATTCAAGGGAGGGAAAAGCCGCTGCTGAAGAGAGAAGAGAAGAAGATTTGGCCAGCTTTCACGAGTACATTCGGAACCGACCTTCAAGAAGACTGGCTGTTTGTGAAGCGATAGAGAGATGTCAGACAGTGGCAAAAATCAATGGTGTAAAAATGACCACATTTGACATGCGCAATGATCTCAAAGACATGAACTAATCTCCGTGCGACACCCAAAATAGCCCATTTCATGCAGCGTTGCATCGTGTGTCCACACCTAAATTCAAGCGAAAAGACAAACTGAACATATCGTAGCAAGCTTACGCGACATTTTTCTTAAACCTCTTTTTTCCTATAGGTTTAGAGTGATTTATAGATGTTGGTGTATTTAGCACATTCCACTTTACTAGAGTACAAACACTAAAAGTGTGCAACACTTTGCACTATCTAGTAGTAAATAGTGCTAATTGATCAATATAAAACAATAGGATTAGCATAATTTAGCAGTGTTTAGTGGTATTGATGTTACACACTTAGTGTTTGTACTCTATCGCATTAATGAAAACCACTCTAAAACCTGTAACTCTGTAACAGTATCAAAAATAAAGAAATTTATAATATAATTACCAATGAAATATCTATTTTTCTCTATTTCGAAAAAATGATATCTTCACACGTGAAAATAACATGTTATTTTCACGTGTGAAAATAACACCATTGCGATGGCTATTCAAAAATGCACGGAAAGAATTGCCTGAAAAAGCCAAAACATACTTCATTGATAATTATATAATAAACAGTATATTACATGGACGCTTGGAGATAGGAATTTTATCTTCTTGTGTTGAAAATCTTTTCAACACTTGAAGATAAAATTCGTATCTCCGCGCGCCCATGTAATATCCTCTATGTATGATAGCGCAGACCATTGTAAATAGTGTAGGATATTAGCTTTAAACTTTTGCGTATCCAGAAGTTATTTGATTAAAGATTATATTAGAAATTAGATTTGATGTAGCAAAACTCTGGTCAATTTACGTGTTACAACAATAAAGAACCGCGTGAACACATGTACCCGTGTTACAAAATTTATGCGAAATAGGAATTAGGGTGTGGCTTTAACGCCTATTTGCTGGGGTACCTGTGGTATATCAGCTATTTTCTTTACTTGGCTTCTTTATCGCAAACACAAATAGAACAAAACTGCGCTTAGGCAATATTGCAATACCTTGGACATAGGTATAGATCGAGCAAATAAAATAATTATGAAATAGCTAGCAGCCAAATGCAATAAATGAAATAGACCGGTGAGCCCATAAAAAAGAGTCAGAATTCCCCAATTATTAGTGTTAGTGTTAATGAACATGAACAACTTTTTTGATCGCAATTTGGAAACACCAACAAACTAACACCCATAATAAGACGAGGACAACATTAATTTTTATAAAGTACTTTTAAAGCTTTTTATTAACCCAAAGACTAACATTTCAAGTCCTTCTACTTAAATTACCAATACTTCCACTATTTATTTGAAGAACAATACATCATAGATGTATAAAGATGGTGTACAATTCAATACACCATGAAGATTTAAAAGTAAAATCAAACACAAACTCATGTTAAAGATTTTTTATCAAGTATCTATTGATCAAAAGTTGTCTAGTTTGGTTTTCTTGACAGTGCTAGCCACGCTTTGTCATATAGACCAAAAGATCTATTACACGATGACTGTATCCATATTCATTATCATACCTGAAATAGGAAAATGTTTCAACAACCTTAAAAATTATACATTTAATAAGGGAAGGTGTGTTTATTTTCAGGGGGAGAAGAAGCCTAGACTGCGAGCTAAGTCCCTCTATTTCCCTTGGTCACTGTCCGTCTGTCTGTCCGTGTCGACTTTTGACTCATGACCAATCTTCCTCGACCAATTGACACGGACAGACAGACTTAAAGTGACCAAGGGAAATAGAGGGACTTACCTCACAGTCTATCTGAAGCCCTGTATAGGAAGTAAATAGGAACCTTAGATGGATTGAAAGTAAATTATCATCTTTGTGTGTGTTGGGTCAGACAGTATGAATACAAGATTCTTCCAGGACTGGACCAACTGGTCTAGTCATTCAAGCATCAGACATTTTCATCACTCCCAACATAAACTTAATCCTTGCCTAAAAACAGTAACCTTCAAAGGCAGATCCCAAAGGGGGGTAGGTGGGGGGAGGCATATAATGTAAAATCTAAACAAAAAGGTAACAGCCACCCTCTTTAAATCATTCCAGATCCAGCATGAACTTATCTGATATCTAAAAAACAGTATGAATAATTTCCCCTTGTTGCTACATGTATATCCCACAAGCTAAAACATTGTGCACTGCACTGGAAAGTCATAATAGACTTTTACAGAACTATCTTGACTGAACACAAAACAATGACCAAAGCTGAGGTTGGACTTGATGTGCAGTGTCCATACATTTACTGTATTTTATAAAGTTTAAGTACGACTTGAAGCCATTGTTTCCTGGTCACTCAAGCAAATCCAGGAAGGCCTATTTGAAAAAAGAGTCACTTACCAGGCAACCAGCTTGACGAATTTATCATTCAGGGCCAAGCCAGCCTTAGCGTCAAATATGCTGGAGGTTGTGTGGCCAATAAAGTCACTGGACACCACCTCGTCTTCAGTGTAACCAAGGAATCTGCTCATCTCTTTGGACTCTGAGGCTTTCTTCACAGCACTCTTGATTTCGTCATATGAAGCCTGCATTTCAAGAAAATTGTGTTCAACTTCAATTTAATAAGTACAAAATCAGAGGACTTTGAGCCAAACTCTAAATATTAACAGTCACTTTATTTATTTATTTATTATTATTATTTTTCTTCAATAAGGTGAAGAATACTTACTCCTTTCTTAAGCCTAACGGTCAAGTCTACCACAGACACATCAGGCACAGGAACTCTGAATGCCATGCCAGTCAACTTTCCATTCAGCTCTGGAATGACCTTACCGACTGCCTTTGCTGCACCAGTTGATGCTGGAATAACGTTCTGGTGAGCACCTCTTCCGTCACGCCAATGCTATGAAACATTTTCATAATTACGAATCATTGAAGTTTCAAAGAAAATTTTTCATTATATTGGAAACAAATGATGAGATAGCAAGTGTGCGCATGACCTTCTTTCTCTCACGATCCACATGCTCCCAACGAATTGGAAAAAAGGGTTATAACAGTTATTATTTCTCAATTGACACGGTTTTCTTTGTTATTCACAAGGCTTTATTTTTGTTATAACCCTCATTATAAATGCGAGGTCAATATATAGTTAGCTTTAACCCGGTTAATAACTATATATAGACTTCACACATTTATAATGAGCAACATCTAATAGAAAACCTTCTCAATTGATAAATAAAATACTTAATTACCTTGAACGTCAACAATAAGCCTGCGGCCCTCAGGATGTATATGGCTTATTGCCTCCGTTCTTGGCAATTAACTCTTACTTTAAAAACTTCATGACCCCCATATAGCCCTTTCTGTCAAACAAAGCAGTATTAGTGCTGGCTATTGTATTGTACCTTTCCACTTGGCCCATCAACAGTTTTCTGTGTGGCAGTATAGGCATGGATGGTTGTCATCAAGCCTTCCTCAATACCAAAATTATCATTGATGACTTTAGCTATAGGAGCAAGGCAGTTGGTAGTGCAAGAAGCATTGCTGAAAAAATAAACATTACAATTAAAGAAAATAATAAATTTGTTCCATCAATTCATGCTATCAGATGCACAAGTGGCATAATGGTTAAGGTTTAGACGGTACAGTTTTCGCCTACAACTATTGTATACAACACGCTCATGCCATCCTACAACTGGAGTCGTGGCATGTAAATCAAGCCTACAACTTGCCTATGACAGACGCGAGCATGTTGTATACAATAGTTGTAGGCAAAATTCATGCTGTCTAAATTGGCCTTTAGAGCGCTCACCTCTCACCAATGTGACCCATGCTCCCAGACTCATATGTGAGTAGAGAGTTTATTTGGTTCTCTCTTGTGCTTAAGGGTTTTTCCCTTAAACCCCCCCCCCCCCCCCCCCCAATAACCCCGAACAATGAGCGCCACACAATACTACCCTCGTAAAACAAGGTAAATTTATTCATTCACTCTTTTCATTTATCATAAGCTATTATTTGTTGAAAATCTCAAAAAAGATATCCCCACCCACCATCCCATCCCCTTTTTCTAAGCCTCCAGCCTGCTTACCTGACAACATTCATGCTGGATTCATATTTCTCCTCATTAACACCCATAACAAACATAGGTGCATCGGCAGAGGGTGCGGAGATGATAACCTTCTTTGCACCTCCTTTCAGATGAGCACCGGCCTTCTCGATGGTGGTGAAAACACCAGTAGATTCAATAACAATGTCGGCACCATGCTTTCCCCATGGGATGGTTGATGGGTCTTTGTTGGCAAACACCTCTATTGTCTTGCCATTAATGATCAGTTTTCCATCCACCACCTTCACCTCGCCTTTGAATCGGCCATGGGTGGAGTCATACCTGAACAGATAGGCCTGTTATAAAACATGGAGAGAGTTAGGCATATTTCTGTATAACCTTTGAAAAAAAACTCTGGGCTGATTTAAGCCATGACATGCCAAACTCACAGATTGAACCCTGAAACAAACTCTGGGCTGATCTAAGCCAGGAATTCCTAATTCACTGATCAAACCTTGGAATAAGTCTCGAAAGTCAGGCCATGGCTGATTCACAGATCAAACCCTGAAACAACTTCTGGGTTTATCAGTCAGGGCATAGCTAACTTATAGATTGAATTGGAAGTCAAAAACAACCAAGGTTAGAACCCAGTTGAGTGGAATCATACTATACAATGTAATTGTCAACTAACAATTATTTTCCTATACAGAATCCCAAGATTTGGTAGTGATAATAATAATTACTCAATACAAATAATGAACAGGACAGCAGTTGGACATTAATAAAAGGCAAAGAAAATAATTATTAACATCACAAAACGTAGCTCAATGCGTGGCAGTTTGAGGTCCAACGTGGCACACGACAAAGAGAAAACTACAATTCTTCTTTGCTCTTTTGTAACCACTTTTTTAATTCCACTTTTCTCAAAGCTAATTCAACTCTAAATATCTCAATTATTTTAAGCCAAACTTGTCACAGACCGGATAATATCAATAGTTTCGCAATAAAAATATAACAGCTGTATAATTTGTACATTTTATATCTATAATTTGGCATTTTTAAATAACAATAATATCATATTTTCACTGGTGAAAACTGACTATAAATAACTTATAAAATGGAAAATAATTTATCAATTTAAAGAACAGATGGCAAAAATACTATTTTAATTCTTTTTCCTGTCAAAATGTGAATTTTAATTTTCAATTTGCTGTCGCTAAATAACCTGAATCCAGAGTTGGAGGTATTACATGCTTAAAAATAGAAATAAAATATAAGAAATAGTAATATTTTGCCTGGTTTTAGCTTATCTAGTCATAGGAAAATCTTGTTTTGGTATAAAATAGTTGAATATGGGTTTTAAAAGGTTAAAAATCTGTGTTTTTTTACCATGTACTCTGCATCAAGGAAAGGATCGTTGACTGCGACAAGTTGGACATCGTCTCTCTCCAAACTAGCACGACAAACCAGCCGTCCAATTCGTCCAAATCTACACAAAAAACACCGTAAGACATTCTTAATACGATCTCAGGTCTTGTGCAATCACTTAAAAAATGAAAAAGGCCTCAAAAGTGAAGAACTGAAGCACATGTCTAAACTCTCACCCGTTGATTCCGAATTTTATAGTCATTTTGATCAGATTTCTGCCAAGAATGTTGTCCTTTCTACTGAAAAATAAATGCAAAACACAATATTTATGACTTCAGCGGGTCAGAAAGAAAGAAATAGTTGTAATTGAGTAAAAAATAAGGAGTTTTTGCAGCAATTCTTACCTCGGTGCAGAGGTTTTGCAAGAAAAAAGCCGACGCCTGATCGACAAATAGTACTTCAGTTTTATTGTTAGAAGAACGATTCTGATTGGCTGAGACCCGGGTATTTATCAGCTGATCATGAGAAATCGTGCAGTGTGACACGTAATATTCCGCGGGGGGGAGAGACGGGTAGTGTGATTCACCTCACACAGGAAACCCAAAAAACATTGTCTTGAAATATTCTTTTCTTTATTTAGATTCTGTCCGTAAAATATTAATAATGGGTCAAGAGAAAATGATAGCTGGGGAAGGGAGGGCTATATATCTTGAGTACATGGCCAATGGTGTTCATATATTTGAGCATAAAATATATTTGATTGGGCTGAAACATTGAAGAAATGAAAGAAATTCAGCCAATCAGAAGCAATCACCCTCACGGTCTGTCACGACAGCTACCTTTGAAAACATGGAAGCTAGACTGTAAAAGTTTGTTCACATCGTGCATAAATAACCTATCATGTGGCAGACTTTGATTTCCAATACCGCAGTGCAGCCATGACGTCATAAAAACGAAGACAAAGGCAAAATTCGGACAAACAAACTTACAAGTTTACTTTCAGCAAATAATTTTCACAGCTTAGTTTACATGGGTTATTATTGTAACTTTAAGTAAAAATAATATAATCAGTTCGTATAATCCTCATAGCGGTTAAACAGAATGCAATGTTTGTCCGAATCTTCAAGCTATTTTTAGAATCAGTGCACTGCGCTATTGACATAGAGACAAACTGGGTGCCGCAATTTTCTGATTTTCTGTAGCAGTTTCAAATATTTTTATTCTGTAAAATCCCACATATATGCCCTTCTGCTTTTAATCTCACTGGCCTACTATAATTTGGTCCCCCCCCCCCCCCCCCCCCCCCCCCCCCCAGTTATTAGCTCTTAAGCCTACCTAATAGTATAGTACTTCACGTTTACCACTGACAACGCATAAGAGACTGATTGAGGAAATAGAAGAAATGAATAAATAAATGCTTCCTCTAAAGAACCAGGAAATGAGGATCGAGGTAAGAGACATAAGCAAAGGCTCAAAGAGCAGTAATTAGTACCAGTATATCATAATTATTTCATCACAATTCTTTAATTTAAGAAGGCTACACATCTATGTTATTCAATGACTAGTACAAATATTTACATTTTGAGGACAGGGTCAGGTCATACGAAGGGTGGATAGAGCTATCAGACGGATAAATCCTTATCCAGTTGATAAGTCGATTCTGTTATGCAATAAATTTATCCATTGGATAAGATTTATTCGTCGGACAGTGCTATCTACCCTTCATACAACTGGGCCCACTAGGATAATGTTTAGTTAGAAATTCAAACTGAAGCAAACATCAGTTGAACCTTTCTGGAATGAAGGTCATCAATAGCTGCTAGCCTTACTACTGCAGGGCTCAACCTAATGGCTGGCCAATAGAGAATGTCCAGCCAAGATTGGCACTTGTCCAGCCACATGTCAGTAATGAATACTGTCTGGTTGTTAGAACTTCAAAGCAAACCCAGCGACAGCAGCAGATCCTTTCTTGGATGATGGCATATGAAAACCTTGAAGTCCTCCACCAGCAGCAGTAGCACTGCTACTATCGCTGCCATCTTTCTACAATTTGAAATCAATGAGACTATAGTTTAACACAAAATAGGTATATTCATTGCTCTTGTGACAGGGCGTATGGTTTTACAGAGATTATTTCAGGCTTCTAGAAAATTGATAGAGTATGGAAAACCTAGCAGGTGTAATTTAGTTCTATGAAACAACCTCTGGGCTGATCTAAGTCAGGCAGGGCTACCTCACAGACAGAACCCTGAAACAACCTCTGGGCTGATTTAATTCAGGACATGGCTAACTCACAGATTGAACCCTGAAACAACCTCTGGGCTGATCTAAGTCGGGGTATGGCTAACTCACTGATCGAACCCTGAAACAACCACTGGGCTGATCTAAGTCAGGAATGGATAACTCATAGCACTGGAATTAAGTAAGCCAATATTCAAGGGCCACTTGGACGAAAATCGTTCCAAAATTAAACCTCTTTCATTCGAGCTGGAACTTTGCTGAAATAATCTTGAACACATTAAGAACCTCTCACTGAAATATCTTTCTAATATTCGAAAGGGAAGGGCCAAAATTTTACAATTTATTTTCGTCCGCCATTAATTTCTGTGTCATGGCCAACGAGTCATTATGTACAGCAGTTTTACACTGTGACGTCATTTACTCAACACCGTCATGTTAGCGTCGTTTTGACTATACATTTCTTGTTAGATTACCTGAAGTTTATTTGATGTTTTAAATGAGTTATCGTGAAAAGAATCTCTAAACAGACTTTTTTTAAACCTTTGATACCTCTTCAAATAT